AAGCGGCTGCTGAATATAGAGAACATGGATCACTCATGCACATGTATGCGCAACCGAGAATGCAGCATGCAGACACAAATTTTCTTTTAGACAAAACATAGTCTAAAAAGAAAATCCAACACATGATTGTGCGGTAAATTTTCTTGGTTACCACCAGATTCCCTGGCAGTAAAATATTTTGTAGATCTCTGTTGAGATATCAACTCCAAGGAAGGCTACCGCAGATGCGGCATTCTTTAGGTGATCAATAATCCATCTAACAGTAAAAGCCTTGTGCTGTAGCAGCTCTCGAAATGGAGGATGTATGTCAGTTTCGGGAAGATTCCCTGTTTCTAGAGCCTTGATAAGCTCATCTGGTTGTGCTGAGTGTTTCGTAAGGGCATCCGCCAGGCAATATTTCGAACTGACGTGAGCCAGATCATCCAAGGAACCAGAATTAGACTCCTTTCGAAGCATCTGAATAAGATGATGAGTTTCCTTCTGTTCCGGAAGATGAGTTGTGCCTGCAGTAGTAACCAAATTGTTTGCATCGGTTCTTATGTGTATGGGCACTGTCTCTGATGAGAGATCTGCCCAGAGTCCCTTAAGAAACAAACAGGTACCAAAGCAACGCATGAGTGCGTTTAGCTCTGCCACCGTAGTGGACATTGTCGTTGTAGTAATCTTGTGAGATTCGTAGTCTACCAGGCTACCTCGTGAGGATGTTTCCTTAATGGAGGACTCAGAGAAATCATTCTTCTTGGAAGAAGTTGCTGCGGCGGACTGTTTCACGCCCTTCAGTTTCGGATTACGTTCTTCAGCAAGAAAAATGACATGAGCTCTCTGTGATGATTTATCATCGTTGTTCCTATAGGAAGCATCCGGATAGCCTAGAATACGAAGGTTTCCTTTCAGCGGCCAAAAACGTAATTCTACTTCAGTGGCCTTAAGGATTCGGACAAGTTTGTTCAGTTCTCTGATGTCACCTATTGTTGGCTTAGCAGCCTTGCTTGCACACCTGCTGAAACGGTAACAGATGTGAGCTTGGGTCCGGCTTTGTAGCCAGTTGATCTGACCAAGAACACTTCGATATGCAGTGTGCTGCTGTGGTGTACATGGCTGCTCATTGTTGAGCTTTTTGTCAAACACAATTTTTTCCAAGGCTTCAACTGCAAGGTTCTGATTCACAGAAATGTGAGCTGGTACAGATGCTGTTGCATCCTTCCAGACTAAACTCTGTCCTACAAACATAATATCGTTTGTGTCTTCAGAACCTACTGCAAACTCCTTTTTGATCGAATCGATCACGGCCTTACGAAAGGTGTCATCACCGGCCATGCACAAGTCATCTACATGCAAACAGACTACTCCATGAACTTCTCTACCCTTGGCATTATTGCCTGCTATGGGATCAAGGAGATAGTCGATTGCTGACTCCATTGACTTCGGCTGAGACTTCTTAAGTTCCGCCTCTGCTGTTGCAGACTTCTCACCATACAAAACATATGTACAACGGTCTGCACGAGTAGGAACAAGGCCGTAGGACAAAAGTGCCTTGTCTACGATGTTCCACCATCTGCGAGGTGCATCATTCAGTCCATAGGCGGGCTTCTTCATCCTCGCAGCTATATAAGGAGGATAGCCTGCCTCAGGAGGAATCTGGCAGATGATGTCACGAGACTCATCGTACGCCTCACCTTGCAGAAAGGCGGTCTTAAGATCAATGTGTGTCAGATTCCACAGCTTGTTAGCTGCCAATTGAATCGCCAAACGGAAGCCTGGACGACTAGCGGCAGGACTATCAGTTTGCTGGATATCCTTTTGTCGGTCCTGGAAACCTCGTAAAACCCAACGGGCCTTGCATTTCAGAAAGTTTCCATCCTTATCTCTTTTTAGAGTTAGGACCCATCGACCTGTCACATAATTTCGGATGTTTCCGAGCTTGCGTGTATCTACAAGCTCAAACTCGTCATTGTCCAGCCAGCTCTGATACTCAGCTGCCTTTGCTTCGTCGAACTGCTTCTTCATTTCTCGCTTCTCCTTAGCGGTCGCTTCCTTCCGTTGTGCCTTCTGGGTAAGATTGGATGAGTTCCTATAAGGACTCACAGATAAGGCTTTATCCTCTTCCGTTAAGAGATCATACTCTTCACGGATATCGGATCGAATCTTCTTGGAAGGTCTGTACCGTGTTCGGTCCGATCTCACTCTTGAGGTTACCTCTCTGATGTCCACAGGGCCGCCATGCATATAGCGCGGCATCGAGAAGGATCCCGTGTTGCTACACAGTTTCTGTTCTTCAGATGGAAGAATCCAGTCCTTCTCATCCACAACAAGATCACCTTCCTCATCAGAGTAATACCTCGTGTCGTCAGACTCAGCATCACTCTCCGGTTCAGGGGAACCTGACGTGTGAGGAAGGACGGACGGTTGTCCGGGATCATCGGGAACCATCTCTTCAGAGGATTCTCCTTCATCCTGTTGCAATGGGAGAATCGGTCCTGACTGTTGCGGTGCCGCCTTTGGCTTAGGGCTTAGGCTTTGGAGTAGGCACCTGTGGAGGTGACTTCTGTTTGTGCGGCGAAACTTTCCTTTCCGATGAAGACCTTGGCGACACATCACCCCCCAGACGCCGAGGAGACGGCTCGCGAGGAGGCGGATGTAGGCGAGGCTTAGCCCGAGCAGGAGCCACGGGCTCATCGGATGAAACTGCCGGAAGTCGCGGTGGAGGTAAGGGAGGAGGAGGACGCGACGGAGGAACGCCAGGAGACATAGGTTGATCTGGCTCCGGCATTGAGGCATCGTCAGACGTCACACGAGACCTGTTGGTACTCATCGGCTCTGACGGATCTGATGGCGAGACTTCTTCTTCAGACATAATGACATCCGGTGGAGGTCGGACAGAAGGTGAAGATTTGCCACCGGTCATTTGAAACAGCACCCCCGAGAATGTTGTTGGGTGCATTTTGTTCCACGACACCTGATGCGGAAGACAACAGGTGATTGTCTGGTTTGGTCGCTTCTTGTTCCAGAAAACAAGGACGCCATCAGTAACACTTGTTAGTGCTTTCATTGTTCCAAAAGTGCCTCTGTAAAGAGTACATTGCTCAAAGCCAGATCCTGGCAAAAGTCTGGATCTCAGGTGAGTAATATCTGATACCAACGCATCAAGGGACGGTGATGGTTTGGAATGATGCAGTGGCAACTCAGTTTTACTCGAGAGAGAATTAACCCTGGTCACAAGTGATCGAATCTTTGGATCTTGCAGCAACTTAGAATCCTTGAGAGGATTGATTGTCAAGAGCGAATACTCTTGGTCGAGCAGATCGCACAATCCATGGAGACATTCGTCTCCTGAGTACTGCAAGATATCAGTGAGCAGGGAAAGATGCGATGCATACGAATCCCGGCGCAGAAACCTTGCCATGCATGAGGCAAAGGTCTCGCAAAATTCGTACGGATATACCTGTGCCAGCTTAGTTTTGAGACCGTAGCCTTGAATACCCGTTTCACCTTTAGGTGAGGAGGTTGGAGATTTCGGCTTTGGACAATTCCTATGTATAGGAGTTAACACCTGCTGTGGCAGTTTATGCATGAAAATCGACGATCTTGACTCATAGTATCCTTTTGGATCTTGCATACCATAGGCCTGTAGATTGCACACTTCATAGCTAACCTTTCGGTTAGAGAACAACCGTTTGGCCTCTGGCGTAGACCAGAGTTTGCTGTAATAAGGATTCTCTAGGACGAAGTATCGTCCAAGTTTCATCTGGTCATCTGCTATAGATTCACAAAACTTAAGAATCGAAAGTCTCTTGCTAGAGCCTTTCTTCCACTGGGAATACCAGCTGGACCATTGGGAATGGTCTGGAGACATCACAATGATGGTAGGTTCTTGTTCCTTGATGATTCTTAGAAGTTTTGAACGGCCTTGAGGCTGCTCAAGATCTAATCCACTACGCAGGTCTATTGGCTGTCCTACTCTTAATCCGGATAATGCTGCCTTGTGACTCATACGAGGTGATCCTCCGTAGAGCTCTAGGAAATCAATTTTTCCTGAATTGGTTACCTGCCAGTGGCACTCCTGATGAGGTATTGTTAGATCTGATGAAATCAAGGAAGCATCCAAGGTGACCATGCAGCTGGCATGGTCTGAACCTTCCGATGCGAGAGTTTCCTCATCTGGTGCCAGGGGAATCTCTACATCAGATGTGATGTCATAGTTCTTTCTCAGTTTTGAGATGTTCACACGGACGATACGGGTGCCGAGATCAACACCTACCATGGAGCCTCCGAGTTCGGAGATAACTTTATTTCCAACGAAGGTGGTATATCACAAAAGGAGGAATCCAGTCAAATATAATTCCATATAATAAAAGTCGTGGCTCAAGCACTCGGTCGAACCCTCTCTCTTTTCGCGCAAGCGGGGTATGTCATGGTGAGAGTCAGCATGCATCGTGAAGCAGAAAGGGTGCACACACCCATCACATCGCATACAACATGTGCCAATGCACATGAAGATGAACGGCAATCCGTCATCTCTCACCCACCCCAGGGCGGGCGGGCGGGACAAAAATCGTTCTCACGGCTGCACACAGCCCAAATGCTACAGAGAACACGGATTCGCAACAGCAAAACATGTTGTGCAAAGCGGTGCAATCACGCAAAAGGTGCACAATAGAAATCGCACACGGCAAAATCGCAGCACTGCAAATCAGAAAATCGTTTGGGAAATAAAATGCTGTCTCGCAAGCGAGAAGGCTTATTTATTTCCAACGAAGGTGGTATATCACAAAAGGAGGAATCCAGTCAAATATAACTCCATATAATAAAAGTCGTGGCTCAAGCACTCGGTCGAACCCTCTCTCTTTTCGCGCAAGCGGGGTATGTCATGGTGAGAGTCAGCATGCATCGTGAAGCAGAAAGGGTGCACACACCCATCACATCGCATACAACATGTGCCAATGCACATGAAGATGAACGGCAATCCGTCATCTCTCACCCACCCCACTCCAAGAGAGATGTTAGGAAAGAGTTATGACTTGTTGCACGATATCCCGGTATGTGGCAGCGACTGAGGACGCATCGGCAACTCGGTCCTGTGGCAAAAGTTCGCAAGCAATGCTACGACTCGGTGCATCTGCAATGTTGCTGCTCGATGGCACACGTGCACACCAGGGCAGAAGGGTACTCTGTTCACAAGTCCTGGCAAAGACATGACAAACTCTGGTGACGGCCCACGAAGCTGAGTAGCCCTTTATCAGAGCAAAGCGTGCACCCTCATTGTCAAGGTATGCCATGCACTCTGAAGACGCGAGGCGCTGGCTCCAAAGCATGAAGGCCACCACCACTGCAACAGTTTCCAGCTCGCCGATACCCGTGATGGCATCCACTGGAATCAAAGGGCGAATATCGCTCTCGCTCAAGGGCAGTCCGAACCAGCTAACAACCGAACCCAAAGGAGAGATTAGAACGCCCCCTAGACCCCCAGTGAAGTCAGGCTCAAAGCTTGCATCTGTGAAGACAAACCAAGGCTGCCCCAAGGATCTTGTGATGCGCCTCGGGGACCCATGCAACACACGATCAAGTAGAAAACTAAGAGCTTCCCGAGCGGGATCGGATAGCTTGGGAACAAAAGGCCAGGCATGAACATGGGAACTGATGTGCTTGAGAGCGTAATGCCCCGCTTTCCCCATGACTTGAGAGTTCGCAAAGGAGAGCTTGCCTCTCAGCTCAAGACCTTCTTTGTAGGGCAACACACCTTCATCAAGGATGCGGGTCACAAAAGCACGAATGTCGCCTTTACGTTTCTCCGTGTTGTCAACAGTGACCACGCAGTCGCCGGTATTCTCCAAGTCAAAGCGAAGTCCCAGGGCAGACACTTGCCTGGAAAACACATCAGCCTTGGGCCCCTCCATGTCGAAGACCCAACCAAGGAGTTGGAACAGCAGTTCCATTGTTGCACCCGTGTTGTCGGCAAGACAATCGGGTGAGGCGACAATGAAGTCATCATAGTAAGAGGTAGTGGGCACAAGCAAGCAACGATTGGCAAGCCATTGGATGCACCTGGAACACCTGATGAAGCCATTCACTGAAGCCCGCGATCCAAAGGGGAGGCAGACCTGAGTGAATAGCATGGTCTTTTGCTTGTGTGGGTCATACACCGCAATGACAGCAAAGCGGCGCGAGCTCAAGGCTCCGCACAATTGGCGGTAAGCCGCCGTCAAGTCGAAGGCACGACCCTTGATCCATGAGGGTTTCTTAGAATCGCGAAGCTTCGTGCACAACCTGACGAACATAGCAGCTGCCACATCTGCAGTATCCACAGTGGGCTGTTCCAAAGTCGTCACACAAGAGTTTACACCGCTCCTGCTGTAGTCGTCGATGGGACGCAGCTTCCCACTCTGCAACAGAGGGAATCTGTGGGATACAACATGCTCCTGCGGCAAGGAGTCCCATTCGAAAGGTCCCAGGAGCCAGCCTGAGTCAACCTCTTTCATCGTCTTTTCCCACAACAAGATGTCCTTCTCCCTATCACCGGAGGAACCCAAGGAGACCTTGAGCGCCTCATTGGCCCGAGGCGCTGCAGCACACAGGTCATCGGGATGCAATGAGGCCGGAGTAACCTTTCCCGGCAGAACATTGGATACAGGCGAAGTACCCACTAAGTCGAAGCCCGACCAGATATCCCTAGCAAGGTTTACATCATCATAGCCCTCGGCGGCAATGATTTCGTCAAGCAGCTGCAGACGCTTTTTGCAAAGGACACGTTTCATGTGCGGGTCATCGATGTCCCACGAAGGATCTGGGTCACGTTCAATTTCACACGCCCGTGTGGTCCACTTGTCAAGCCATCTCCTCCTCTTGTCTACCACAGCATGTGGCGGAGCCTTAGCAAGCATATCTACGCACGACTCAAGGTGGTCCGGCAGTGAGGAAAGTGAAGAGCTGGGATGCCCTGCTCGTACAGCAGCGCGCACGAACTCACTCTCATCAAAGGGAACCCCAAAGGTTGCATGATGAGTCTGCTGCACAGGCCCGGCTACAGGCTCAGTTTCCCCACTCTTGCACGGCTGGTCAGGAGGGCACGTTGCCGCCGAACAGGTGACCAAAGTCGGCTGCACAGGCATGGCCACAGGATCAGTTTCCCCACTCTCAGCCTGGTGATCCGGGGGGCACGTCGTTGTTGCACAAGAGACCGGCATAGGGTGGCCAGGCAAAGGAAAGCCTAAGTCCCGTAAGACTCGCACATCATCCTTCTTTAGAGAACCGACCCGATTCGGTGTGAATCCGATCAACACGACTCTAGAGCCCTCCCAAGGCAAAGTGCAGTGAAAGCAATGTGCATCGAACTCCACAGGGTTGTCGCACACTTGCAGGACACGACCAGTAGCCTTTCCAAGGGGCGTGGCCCTTACATGCTGACCCTCATCATCCTGTACCCAAATGCCCCCTTTAGCAAAGTCTGTCAAGGCCATCACGTAGTTGGAACTCCCATCCAAGTTATTGGCATCCCGATGCATCGGAGTGCACACATTGGAGTATATTGCCACCGTGGCGAACGTGGCATGAGGAAAGCGGGAACGCAGGAGCCTCACAGCCAACCGAACGGCATTCGGAAAAAGCTTGGTGTTCTTTCGTAAGCCACACAAAGTACCCTGGGAGTAGGCACCAGCAGACCAGGCCTTCTCCCGCGCGTCCTTGACACCCCTTGCTGGAGTTTCTGCTGGTAACGTGTCGAAAACCTGCAGCAGCTGTGCTTGCGTAGGAATGTCGCACAAATCCGCCGCTAGCACTTCAGCTTCGCTGGTCACAGTCATCGCAGCAGCCCTGCTACCTGGGTCAGGCAAAGCTAAACCAAAAGGAGAAGGCGAGCCATCCACTAAACCCAAAGGGGGAGGAGGAACAGGCAGGGAAACCCTAGGGGAGGACGTCGCCATCCTGTCATCTGCAATTGCAGCCGCGGGAGGGCTCTCACCAGCGGCAAACAGTGTCTCGGAAGATTTGTCACCGCTGACTGGCAGACACACCCCCTTCACAGACTCAGCAGCGGTGAAGTAAAGAGGGGGGAGCAGCTTGGCTCCAGCAGGCACAACCACATCATGCACACGCAAGGGCTGAAGAAGCCGGCGCTTGTTATCCAAGATGGGCACTGCACTCAAGGTCACACGAACAAAGTATTTGAACTCTGGCACTGGCGCAAGCAGAGGCTTGCGAGGCTGCTTACCTGTGCCAACCTGAGCTGCAAACAAAGGTGGTAAGCTTGAAGCGTCTACATCAAGGTGTTCAAGCATGATGAGGGCCAAAGCCCGATACATGCGTCCCATAGCTGCCTCCAAGCTGGCTTTGACAAGCGGAGGCTGCACCACAGGCGGGGAAATGGCAGACAAAACTCGAGGGCATGAAGATGCAAACTTGATGCGACCCCGGGCACCGGGGGCGTAGCGGCTCAAGTCAACCTCAACAGCAGAAGAAGACACCTCAAGACCCAGCGAAGTCTTCCAAAAGGGCGAGCGCGAGGGCGCTTCGATGGTCCACATGGTATCCGTATCAGCACAGTGCTTGATGAGCTGAGCAAAAATGTAAATGCACCTTTCCACTTCACACTGGACATCACCTGAATTCGAAAGTTTGTTATGAAAGACGGAGGTAGGGCAGCGGATGTGGATCCAAGCACAAGTGGGCTCGCGAACCCAGGATGCACACAATGCAAAACCTCCGGGGGACAAAATGTCAATGGGAACTACAGGCGCCGCGGAAGCTTGAGAGCACCCTCTGCCAATCGCAAAAGAGCTGGGTAACACCGTTCGGAGACAACCACACAAGCTGGCACGCCTAGCAAAAATTTCGATACAGAAAATTCTATCACGCTCTCGAAGCGCGAGGTCCTTAACCGGCTTCGCTAAGTGCACGGACGATCCCTGACACTCGGGCACTGCACATGCAATCACATCGCCCGCGCACGTCCCCTGTCACTCTGAACTCTGCGAAGAGTCATGCTCGCTCATGGGATGCGGCTTGTAACACCCAGGCTTGCAACACACATGCTTAAACTTGCATTTGGCTCCTGCCTTGCACTTGCCCAAGTTGAAGTTGAAGCAGATCGGTTTGTTGTCTGGTGTTCTCGAGTGCATACCCTTGAGAACTTCGGGAATCGGGTCGCGCGTGATCTTGGCTTTCTTATTCGGGCTCTCACCATCATTTGTGGTCTTCGTGCGTTTACGACCCTTACCATCCTTATCAGCCTTGCCTCCTCCCTTGCCCCGGCCTTTCACAGGCAACAAGAAGTACATCACAGTAGTGTTGAACTCAAGCTTCTCAAACTCCTTATCTAAGGGGAGGGACCCATCAGGACCAGGTTTCAAGTTTCCATTGCACACTCGAGCAAGCTCCAGGAAACACTGCCGGTCAGCTCGCAGCACTTGCGCACGGGAGACACGCTGAAACTCGGGAGGCGGGTCCTGGCTCATGATGCGGAAAAGGCGCTCATTCCACTTCTGCACACAAGCATAAGATGCGAGGCCCACTAAGTCCATAGCTAAGGCACGCCTCATCATTGCTTCATACAGGGACAGGTCGCTATCAAGAGAGATGGCAGCCGTTGCCTCTTCATCTTTCAACACTAAACCCGTCTTACTTGCATCAAGGTGCAAGGCTTTGGGAGGCTTCTCACAACAAAGCTCCTCATCACGAGTGATGCACTCATTGGGGGCCAGATACTTCAATTCATCATTCTCACGCATGGTTGCTAACCTGTCATACACACAATGAGCGACTGCAAGAGGGCCCTCCAGTGGCAATCCTGACAGACGACGCTTCTGAGCATCAATGCGCATGGAACGCTCCGATGCCGGCAGTTTCCTTGGCACCTCGTCTGTAGCCTGCATCGAAGATCTCAGCTCAGCCACAGTCATGGTCTGAGATTCAAAGATGAGCTGCTTCAAAGCGGAGCTGTCCCCTAAGGTGATTCTGGCTCCCGGCCGGAGGGTCAAGATGAAAGCATCCATGTCATCACTCGAAGGTTGATTCCCCGGAAGCGTCACAGCATAGCTAAGTTTCCCTAAGGTCGTGATCCCTGATTCTTTCAAGGCAGTGACCGCCTGCACGCTCGCACTGCCTGTCGAGGGCAGCTGTGGAGGTTAAGAGCGAGAGCGCAGCCATGCCGACTAAAGAGCACAAGCTCAGCGAAATACAAAACACCAACCTCCGTGATTGACACACACGCATGTCAAAGAGCACCTAACATGTGAGGTACAGTCCAATATGTAGTGTCGCATGCATGTTCATGTCTCCCTCAGCCAGAGCGCACTCGCAAAAGACATGAACTCACAACCAGGGCACTCCCTGGGATGCGCACCCGCAACACACAATGCCATCTACTGCATTCAGGACTTGAGCAATCTCCACTGAAGCTCCAGAGCCGCGCACAGCAGAAGGCACTCCAACTATGCACCACGGAATTTTCACGCACCGTCATTACGGTTCATAAGCTCATCAAGCCGCTCATTGAGGGCACGAGTGGAATCTAGCAGTTCTCCTTTCCAACAGACTGCACACCTAGGCCACCGGAAAAAGGCTCCCTCTAGCCACCTGTACACATTGGCCGTGCGTCTCCCACACTTCGTTTTGCACGCCGCCTGCCCGCCTTGCGGGCGATGAAGCATCCTCGACTTGATGTGTTGCCAGCATGGCTCATTGATCTCAAACGGTTGGCTTACACCACTCGCTGTGATAGTTTGCTCTTCCGTCTCACTGGCCTCTGAAGAACATGAGCTCGAAGACGAAGAGGATGAACTTGAGCCGCAGCCCTCCAGTGTCGTGTCCCGCGCACTGTCCCCAAACAATTCAGGAAAGAGCGCCTCACTCCCAGATTCGAGTCCCTGCTCCCCAGCATCGGGCATAGGGTGCTCAACATGATCCCAGGAGCCATCATCACGACCTAGCTCGCTTGGCCGTGAGGAGTCCGGTAAATCTGGAGGCAAATTGTTCGCATAATAATGTTCAAGCTCTCCTGGTACTTCTGTCCGATGCCCCACATCAACTGGCTCATGCCCTAGCTGTGCACCAAGGCCGAAGGCACCGCCTGAGCTCCCAAGTTGAACACTTGCAAATTCCCCAAAAGTGGGTAGAAGAGGATCCTTTGAAAGCCATCCCGATCGGGTACTATCTGGCCTGAAGACGTTTGTCCTGATTTCGGCAAGCATAGCCCTGTATGCGCGAAGGGGCGCGCTCAACAATTCCCGACTGTAGCATGCCAACGAGCCTGAGCCCTGAGCATGGTGACCAAGAAGAAGGCTATCCCGCTCTCCGAAGCCGCGCTTGCCAACCCAAGCTAGAGTCGTACCCTTCAAGACATGCGACGTACGCCTCTGGTCTCCATCCAGGTCCAAGGCATTGCACAACATCACACCGGCTTCGCTTGAAGTGCACCGTCTCTTGCACAGCTGGCCCTCGGCATCTGGGGCACGGACCAGAGGCCCAAAGGGCTCTGCATCCCACTGCACACCGAGACGAAGCCCGGCATTCCACCAGGCTTTCACCCAGTTGGCATCAGTGACCCCGGGAAACGGGGCCACCAGAGGCATCGCACGCCTCTTCGTCTTGACTGTATTGCTGGTCTTGTGATCACGGGTCCTCGCTTCTACAAATCCAGACTGCTGGTCGTCGCTCTCAAAGTCCACCCATATACACATGAGATTTCTAAGATCGGACCACCTCGAGCGGCTATACAGACAGAAGACAATCCCACCCAGCACATAAGTGTCTGCATCACACAAAGAGTTGCTGGCCACAAGCTTCTCCAGTTTTGCAACACACTCCACGGTGAGAGGATCCTGCTGTTTCACCTCTGCTCGTTCGCCCTCAAGCCTCTTGGCACGGCCCTGCAACCTGCGGTCCTCAAGGATCTCTTTGCAAAACGGCATGCCCATAACATGATGTGCAAAGTTCACAGCTTCAAAGAGACCTGCCACTGCACTTGCCCCAACCCCAAGGGATTTTACAAAGTCGGTAAATGAGCCACAGTCCCAGGGCCAGGCGGCCTGCCTTTCTCTAAGCAAAGAATTGGCACGCTTGATCGCAGTCCTAGGGGATTTAATGCCGAAGACATCCCGAATCAATTCGTCCCTGGCCGACTGACCCTCTGCAATCAAGCACTGAGCAGCCTGCTCACCGACCTGCCCAGGGTCACTCTGAGCTAAGCTAAAAATGCAACACCACTTGTTGATCGCTAAGACCCAAAGGTGATCGTCCTCAGCTTGGGTAGAGATATCGGCCCTCGCAGAAAAGGATTTCTCGAAGAGTGTGCACGGGGCAGACCTGACACGTATGCACGGCACATCCTCAGGGGCTGGGTTTGCAGAATCCTTTTATGCCGGAGGGCAAGGTTGCCGCAAGACGGGATGCTCTAGAGTGCCATTGCCGAAAATGCACGACATAACCCCAGACTCCCAGGGGAGCCTGGGCAAAGTGTCCACGATGCTACTGGTGCGCGCATGCAGCAACAAGCGGTCGATGTCTGCATCATCGATAACACTGTCGTGTGACATGATGAAAAAGGCTAAGCGGACACACCCCCTTGGAAGCTAGCCAGGCAGGGAGTCTAATCAGACACAAAATGCCGGAAGGCCCGCTGGGCTCTCTGCAGCCACTGCTCGATCCAGGTAAGGCGCACTGCGGATTGGCTGTGCGATGCCTGCAACTCCTGAACCTGTTCTTGCAACAGAAGCAGCTGAGCTCGCAAGGTGTTAACTTCTAACTGAAGATCCCAGATGTGCTGGGACAGCACCTCGTAATCACTGGTGCTAGAAGCACCACTGGAAGCGGAGCCCGCCTCTTCCATCTGCCGCCCTCCCAGTGGAGGGGGCGTGCACGGGCTCCTAGGGAGCAGCCTTGTGATAGCACCCGGAACCTGTTAGATGCAGTACAGGTCTCTAGCGGGGCCTCACAAAAATCGTTCTCACGGCTGCACACAGCCCAAATGCTACAGAGAACACGGATTCGCAACAGCAAAACATGTTGTGCAAAGCGGTGCAATCACGCAAAAGGTGCACAATAGAAATCGCACACGGCAAAATCGCAGCACTGCAAATCAGAAAATCGTTTGGGAAATAAAATGCTGTCTCGCAAGCGAGAAGGCTTATTTTCCTTTAAGCCAAGATCCATGTTTGGATCCGGTTGATCCGATTTTTGATTTATCCTCTGACCAATAATAGACCTTATCTCCTAAAGAGAAGGGTCCTTCGGTCATAGAGAGTCGAGACGCAAGATCTCTTCTGAGGTCATCAGATTGACGTGCCTCTTGGTAGGCCTTGTTGGCAAGCTCCTTGATAGCTCTTGCTGTAACCTCAGTATCAGTAGGGTTAGTAGGGTTACCGGTTAACTGATTGGGGTCCGCGTTCTCAGGTGTTATAACATCTCGAGGACGTCTACCGAAAGCCATTTCCAGAGGAGTTACTCCTCCGTATGTAATTGAGGAGTTTCTTGCCAGACATGCCTGATGCACTAAGTTACCATACTTCATAGTGATACCATTATACTCTGGGTCACCATCCTTGAGAGTCTGAAGTATGATCTTGATCTGATGTTTCAACAATCGTACAGCTGCCTCGGCCCTGTTGGGCCGTGGTGTGCCAGGGCCTGTCGCTACAGGTTTGATGTTCTGCCGATTATAATAGGCCTCCATTTTTGGAGTCATGAAGGCTTGATCTCCAACAACAACCTTTGGGTTGATTTGGTATTTCTCAAAATAATCATTCATGATGGACATTGTTGTATGTTCCTCCTTATCCTGAACAACTTCAGATGTCAGGAGGTTTGTCGCTCCATCATAGAGTATGAGAAATATGAGTCGACTAGACTTGCCAGGGATTGGCAATTCACCATGGTCTACGAAAGTCAGATCCCCGAAAGTTTCGGATCTTAGACCTGATACTTTTGCCCTTGAAGGAGCTCGTTTATGTTCCTGACAAGCTGAGCACTTCTTGACCAGTTGGTCATAAAGCTCGCAAATTTCCGTTGGAATCTGAAGAGTCTTTGTCCTTCTTTTGAACTGATCTGTACTCATGTGACGGTGCTTCAGATGAAGCTTGTAAAGTTCAACTGGATCCTTGAGCTTCTCATGAATCCTACGAAGGGCAATCGGAAGAGAGGGTGCCGGTTCAGGCACAATCTCTTCTCCATCGTCTCTCTCACCTGCTGGTGAGTCGGTCCTAGGAGCAGGGTATTCTCTTGACTCAAGTGGTTCTACCTACCTCCGTCCCGTGATCAGCTCCTGGGACAACAGATCTTTCCTCCACTGGAGGTTTGACTGTGTATCTTTTCTTAAGAAGATTCTTTAGACCCTTTGGAGTCTTTACCCTTCCTGATGGAAGCTCAGGCTTCTCTTCAGAAGGAAGTTCGGGTGGTTCCGAAACTTCTGGAGGTTTGTCCCTTGAACCTGATGCTGGTTCCGATGATTCGGCAGGCTCAGGTGCTTCACCAGATGGTTCTGGTGGATCAGACCTTCTAGCAGAGGATTCTGCGGGGTCTGGTGGAGGTGTCTTCTTTTTGCCTGGAATGCCCTTGGGTGGAGGATCTGCTGCACCTTCCGGTGCTTTATCACATCCCTTAAGGAAAGTATGAGGCTTCTTTTGTCCTGCGCAGGCTGGACAACGACCTTCAGGGATCTTTGTGTAAGATCGCCTCTCGTCCTTTGGCTTCTTGGCTCCTAAGGCAGTTTCTGCTACTTGAAAAAAAGAACCGGACTTAGGATTATACTTCCTTGTGGAAGTGAAGCTCAGAAGATCTAGCACCAAGTGATTATTGGTACTGATAGGATGAGGGGTCTTGTAAAGACCAAAAGCTTCACACGTTGCAAGATCCGCGGTCGGACTGCACTCAAGGGTCATTCTGAGATTCCTCATCTGTTCAATGGAAAATAGAATGGGAACCTTGCCTTGATCGAGCACCTCTATGGTAGTATCCCGTCTGGGAGTTGTGTTAAACCACAAGGTTACACGCTCCTTGATAAGAGCTGTTTCACTATCTGCAAAGGAGAACTTCGTGTTCGAAGGTGAGAAAGTGAAATCAATCATGCCTGGAGCATGTTGCTTAACGGCCTTGATAAGCCGATTCACCGCATAGCGGGATCCCATAGCCCTTGTACAACCTGAGTCAAGAATGACAAAGGTAGGGCTTCGATCAAGATTGATCCGCTCTGTCAGAGCAGATAGGACGGTGTGCTGCAACGGAAACACTGCTGTTGCAGTCTCCACACCTGGTCCTTGACGTTCATCCTGTGCCAAAGGCAGGTAACTCTCTGAGGAGTTGTACACGGTATCATGGTGCGCGCTCGGATCTGTGCCTCTACCTGATGATCCTTTGTTGTTCTTTCTCTTCTTTTTCCGTGCTTTCCGTTTTGAGGCATGTGCATAGTATGTGTAAGTAAGACGTATTTTCGTCGTAAGCGGCATAATTCCAACCGGAGTCAGTATAGTAACTGTCCTCGTACCATGAATCCCAGCTCGGTGTGGTGGAACCTTCATAGGCATGCGGAGATGCTGTTTGATCTCCTTGTAAGGAGGCAGACTTGGCTGTATCCTTACCTTTGCCCTTTCCTTTTGTGCCTTTGAAAGAGCTTCCTTTGTCTTCCTTTCCTTTTCCTTTCCATTTGCCTTTTCCACCTTTTCCTTTATCTTTTCCTTTATCTTTTCCTTTTCCTTTACCGAAATAGCCGGAATCGGTTGGATCATGTTCTGCCTGGTTGGCTCTCCCTTTCCCGCGGTATGACCTGAAACGGCCACGTCCTTTTCGCTTGCCACCCTTTGCTCTTCCCGGTGATCCGGGACGCATTCTTGGTCTCCTTCCTTTCTTGAATCTCCTTGCAACGAAGGCCTCATGGTCATCCACTGTCCAGAAGACAGCTTCCTCATCTTCAGCGGCAAGAAAACCTTCCTCAAGGGTATCTTCATCTTGGAGCCAGAATCCATCGACTCCGTCGTATTCACCCTGATCGAGGATGAGGAAGTTTCGGCCTCCGCGTTTGCGGCGTTGGTCTCTCCTTCCATGGCGGTCCTTCTTGTGAGAAGTATGCCGAATATTTGGATCCTGCAGACCAGTTCTGGTCGTCGAGAACTGATCGAACATGGTCTGCCGTACCACAGGGTACGTGTAGGTCTCAATTCGGTAACCTTGGTTGGTCAATGCTGATACCAACCTCTCACGTTGTGTTTCATTCAGGTCGGACTGCACTAGGAATAGGAGAGCTAGGAGATTATCATTCAGTGGAAACGCTCTACGATGATTATCACGGCGTTCCTTGTTCCATGTGTCAAAGAATCGTGCGGCATATTGGTCCCTTTCATGTGCTTCCTGCAGGCGAGTGAAAGTTTGATCTTGCTGCACTGCCGCTACAAACTCCTGATTGGCATCTTCCAGGTTTATCTCTGGTAAGAGATCCATCCAAGAGTTTCGCAGTCTATTGAGCACTATCTCAAACTTAGCAATCCAAGTGACAAAATCCTGGTTGCCTTTCCACGCCTTAAACAGGCCAAGGAACCGCCACAGGAAAACGTACTGTTCTCCTTTTACGAAAAACGGACGCATTTTCTTCTTGAAGTAATCTACTCCATCTGGGGCTGCAAGCCTTTCTCGATTAAGTGATTCTTTCTGTACTGCGGCCAATCCGGAGAGCCTCGTCTTGAGAGACGGACCT